AAATGGGGGCATTTTTGGATAAACCAAAAACTGAAAAACACAATGCCCACGGATCAGGAAATGGCTTGCAATATGGACTTAGCAGCATGCAAGGCTGGAGAGTTGAAATGGAGGATGCTCACACAGCCGTGGTGGGTATACCTCACGGCTTGGAAGACTGGTCCTTTTTTGCGGTTTATGATGGCCATGCAGGATCACGTGTGGCAAATTATTGCTCGTCGCACTTATTGGAGCACATTACAGACAACGAAGATTTCAGAGTTGCAGAATCTTCAGGATCTGCTATTGAACCATCTGTAGAAAATGTTAAAAGTGGCATTCGAACTGGATTTTTAAAAATCGATGAATACATGCGCAACTTTGCTGACCTAAGGAATGGCATGGACAGAAGTGGATCTACTGCTGTGGCAGTCCTAATTTCACCTGGTCACATGTATTTCATTAACTGTGGGGATTCTCGAGCTGTACTGTTTAGGAATGGGCAAGTTTGTTTTTCAACACAGGATCACAAACCTTGCAATCCAAGGGAGAAAGAGCGAATTCAGAATGCTGGTGGCAGCGTCATGATCCAGCGTGTCAATGGGTCATTGGCAGTTTCACGTGCCCTAGGGGACTATGATTACAAGTGCGTTGATGGCAAGGGACCTACAGAGCAACTTGTTTCTCCTGAACCCGAAGTCTATGATCTTCTAAGAGCAGAGGAAGATGAATTTATTATATTGGCTTGTGATGGCATATGGGATGTCATGAGCAATGAGGAGCTTTGTGAGTTTGTGAAGTACAGGCTTGAGTTAACGGATGACCTTGAAAAAGTATGCAATTCAGTAGTGGACACCTGTTTACATAAGGTAAGTGAATTGTGTAGTAACAGTAGCCGTATATTTAAAGAACTCTTCAAGCACTATTTAACTACAGGATCTGCTGGACACCACTTCCTTACTTCACTACTTCAATGGACAACCGGAAGCTTCTAAACATGAACTTCATTTAGTCCTCCTGAGCTAAGCCCAACACCACCAAGCTTAACTCGAAGAGGTAGAAGCTCTCTGCTTGAAGTAGTGGAGGTGGGGAGCGGCGCTTGGCTGACCCTAGGTTAGGAGTCACAGTTGTACAACAGTTTGACTCTTCACAACGGCCCAATCCACTATAGCATGTTGTAATTGTCCTTGAGCTTGGATTGTTCCTTTAAATGCTGAACGCTTGTTGTTTGTCCTCGGCTCCACATTTTTGATACAATTTAGTTTCCTTTTAAAAATGTTGTGCTTGATCTGTCTCAGTACATCGCTGCTTTCAGTTTTATATCTTGGTTTTTGTGTTTACAGCACTCTTATCTTTTTCTGGTTAGGCAATAATTGGGAAGCTTTATAGGTATCATCCGGTTTATTTACTTTTCTTATTCATACAGAGCCTGGAAAAGTCATGAATTGACCAAGAAAGTGTTCTTGTCCTTATAAGTATTGCCAAAAAGGTGGCTCACTTCCCGCCCCCTCTCTCCCCATGGTCCATATCTAGTTTAGTGAATTACATGTTATTATGTGCTGTTAATTGAGAAACCTTTTTTTAAATTAGCTGTTTTTGACAGGTTAGTAAGTTCTAGCTGGTCAATCTAGTGTGCTTATTTCTGTTTTACTTTCTAAAAGCTGAGACTCTTCTAGTTTTGATTTATCTGTAAAGCTACTTGCAGCATATCCTGCTTTATGTGAAATACCCTCTGTTATGTGTCTCTCAAATGATTACAAGTTGTGGCAAACATTTTTGAGGCTGTGCATAAGTTTCAGCAGAAATCTAGTTACCGTATATACTCGAGTATAAGTTGACCCGAATATAAGTCGAGATCCCTAATTTTACTCCAAAAAACTGGGAAAACTTATTGACTCGAGTAGGGTGGGAAATGCAGCAGCTACTGGTAAATTTCTAAATAAAATTAGATCCCCCAAAAATTCGATTAATTGAATATTTATTTACAGGGGGTGTGTGTGCGTGTATGTGTGTGCGCGCGGTGGGAGGGGATGTGTATGAGTGCAGTGTGTGGGAGGGGGCTGGCAGGAAGCATTTACTTACCTTTCCGTCAGCTCTCTTCTCTCTCGTCCGGTCAGCTCCACTGTATGTCTCGCGATGTGACTGCCGCGCGGAGCATTACCATGGTAACCCATGGCAACGCTCTGACCCCTCAGCTCTCGCGAGACTTGCAGGGGAGCTGACCGGACCGGAGGAGAGAGCTGCAGGAAAAGTAAGTAAACGCTTCCTGCCAGCCCCCAACAGGACCACCGGGTTTATAATGAGCCCGGCGGTCCTTGTCTGTATTAAGGCAATGTAAGTTGCCATAATACAGACACTCGCGTATAAGACGGTTGGGGTTTTTTCAGCACAACAAATGTGCAGAGAAACTCGTCTTATGCTAGAGTGTATACTGTATGTATTTCTTCTGCTAGTTGTGACTGGTTAATTTGTGTGGGTTAACAGGTTTAATGGTGTTTGACTTGTGGCACATGAAGTGCTACATTTACGAAGCCATGAGTATCTATGGCATTAAATTACATTTCAAAAGCAGAGTAGGTATACAGCATTGATTTGTAACAGGGTTCCATTTATTTAACTTAAAAGAACACTATAGTCACCTAAATTACTTTAGCTAAATAAATCAGTTTTAGTGTATAGATCATTCCCCTGCAATTTCACTGCTCAATTCACTGTCATTTAGGAGTTAAATCACTTTGTTTCTGTTTATGCAGCTCTAGCCACACCTCCCCTGGCTATGATTGACAGAGCCTGCATGAAAAAAAAAAACTGGTTTCACTTTCAAACAGATGTAATTTACCTTAAATAATTGTATCTCAATCTCTAAATTGTATTTTAATCACATACAGGAGGCTCTTGCAGGGTCTAGCAAAATATTAACATAGCAGGGGATAAGAAAATCTTAATTAAACAGAACTTGCAAGAAAGCATAAATAGGGCTCTCTTTACAGGAAGTGTTTATGGAAGGCTGTGCAAGTCCCATGCAGGGAGGTGTGACTAGGGTTCATAAACAAAGGGATTTAACTCCTAAATGGCAGAGCATTGAGCAGTGAGGCTGCAGGGGCATGTTCTATACACCAAAACCGCTTCATTAAGCTAAAGTTGTTCAGGTGACTATATAGTGTCCCTTTAATAATTTGTTAAAAGAATTAAATTTCTGCTGGTACAGTCAAACAATACTTGTTGTTCGTTTTAAGGGGCACAGTTTGTAGGTGTGTATTATTTTTGGGGTTATTCGTACAAAGCATTTAACATATTAGAACTGGCTCTACAAGAAAATTAAGATATGATCAGAATATTTTAACTATAGATGGGAAATAGTTATGCTAATGACTTTTTTAAAATTTATTTTCTTTTTCTTTTTTTTTTCTTTTTCTGGGCATATTGAACTTAAAGGGAAATTATCATCACGAGCATAATTACATTAAAAAGCCTGCAATGACATACTATACACACCAGATAAGCTACATTAAAGGGACACTATAGTCACCAGAACAACTACAGCTTATTGAATTTGTTCTGGTTAGTAGAATCATTCCTTTCAGGCCTTTTGCTGTAAACACTGCTTGTTTCAGAGAAAATGTGTTTACGTTACAGCCTAGTGATAACTTCACTGGCCACTCCACATTTAGCTGTTAGGGATCCTTCCTGGGTCATGGCTGCCTAAAATGCATCCAAACATTCAGTGTCTCTTCCCTCTGCCTGCAGACACTGAACTTTCCTCATAGAGATTCATTGATTCAATGAATCTCTATGCGGAGATGCTGATTTGGCCAGGGCTGTTTGCATTGTGCTGGCTCTGCCCCTGATCTGCCTCTGTCAGTCTCAGCCAATCTTGTGGGGAAACATTGTGATTGGATCAGGCCACCACGTCTGATGATGGCAGTGGGCAGATCTAAAGGAAACCGGGACAAAATAAGCAGCTGCAGACTTGAATACAAGTAAGAGTTTACTATATTTAGGGAGGCATGATGGGACCAGGATGGCTAGATGGTGGTTTTAGCCCTATAGGGTCAGGAATACATGTTTGTGTTCCTGACCCTATTCTGCTCATTTAAGCTGTTAAGGCAGTCTTTGTTACTGCCTAGGGACACTTCTAGTGGCAGTCACTCAGACTGCCACTAGAGGTGATTCCTGGGTCAGTGCTGCATAATGTTAAGCACTGAACTTCAGTGTCTTCACGCTCCTCATTGAGATGTATTAATTCAATGCATCTCTGTAAGGAAATGTTGATTGGCATAGCACAGTGTTTGGCCGCATATGCATGATTGCTTTCCAATGCTTTTTCTAAGGGAATGCATTGGATTGGCTGATATTGTCAATTTTGATGATCTCAGTCAAGGACCTGCACGGTGATGGAGTAAAAGTGAGTTTTATCCCTTTTTAAGGATGGTGGCAGCCATCGAATGTATTTCCAACCACCCCCAGTGTTGTCAGTTCTTTAGCCAAATAAATAAATCATATGCATTGAAGTTGTGTTGGTCTCAATGTGCACATTTTGAAAGGAAAGACAACAGGGAATTTTGTTTGTTTTTGTTCTATGGAAAGATAAGTCAAATGCACAGTTTTATGGATTGCATGATCATCAATTTGTTGAGAATAAAATATACATTATCGGTAGAGATTTCATTGTTATTATATCAGGTTCACATTTAGGTCTTTGCTGTGCAAGGACATAAAGTAAAAATATATTTGATATCTTTGCTTGTAATTTATTAAGCAGACATTGAGGTGAAAATGCAGTGCTAAAAAAAAGTGTAGTGTTATTTGCACGATCAGTACACTATAAAGATGGGACCCTTGCAAATAATATACTCCTGTAATTCTAATTTTTTGTTTCTACTATTGTGGGTTAGTAGAATGGTCACTTGATTTTGTGAAAAAACACTTTCTAACTAAAATCTTTATTTTATTTACTTACAGGGAAGTCGTGATAACATGAGCATTGTCCTAGTTTGTTTTCCAAATGCTCCTAAGGTCTCTGAAGATGCAATCAAAAAAGATGCAGATTTGGATAAACACTTAGAATCAAGAATTGAAGGTACGTTTGTAGACTGTTACCACACCCACACTCTAAGCCAATTTTATTCAATCCTTGTAAATGGTATATATTGACAAATGTCGTAGAACTGAAATATCAGTTTTTGCATGGCAAAGATTGGAGATACAGTCTACTCTAGAACAAGCTTGCTCACAGGTTTTTATCAGGAGCAGCGGTTTCATATGTAGAAGCTGTGAATGGCTTGAAAAACAAGGCGGCTGTTGGTTTGAGGTGAGTTCTGCGAGGTGATTGTATGTTGACTTCTCTTTTAATATACTATATATAGTGTGGTGTTTTTTTTATTTTATTTTTTTTAAATGCGGTGATGGTTCATAAAATGGAATTGCAGAACCCTCTGGTTTTTTGTTTTTTTTTCTTTTCTAGAATCAGAAGTTTTGTTTTTTCCTTATTTAAAAAAAAAAAAAAAAAAAAAAAGAGAGAGAGAGAAATTCCCTACTGGAGGAGTCAATCTAATTTGAGGCTGAAGTCGTGCAAGACTATTTCCCTGTGATTTTTCTTCCTTCTATATTGTGGTCTTCCTCCCAAACTATTTAGATCACTTTTTAAAGTGGACCTGTCATGGTACACACGTTTATGCTCCTCTTATAGAGCATAAGAATTCATCTCTGAAATGTGCTAGAATTGCTAGCAAATGTATAGGATGGGAGAAATCTATTTAAATAAAAATTTAAAATAAACATTCTTTCTTCCACCCATCTGCCAGTTGACCTCTGTGCCAAACAATTGACTGACAGGTACAGCAGCAGAGATCTCCTATAGGCGGTCCTCCTCTTCTGCATGCATAGCAGCTACAGTACAGGCATCTGCTTAAGCCTATGTGGTAGAATGGAAAAACTTGAAGGGTAAGGGGATACAAAAGTAGAAAATCTCCTGAATGGGGGTTAACCCCTAGTGCAAGAATATTTGCACCAACAACTAAACAACAAGAAGAGACAAAAAACAGGAGAAAAGGAATTAGGGTAGAGTGTAAGTCCCTTAAGAGGAAGGAGGACCAGTCAGTGGTACAAATAGTGTGTACCACTTTAAAACTTTTAATACTAAAGTAAAACCACAAGAGCACACATTAAGAACACTAATTAGTATAACTTGTCCTGGCTTGTCTCAGTTAGTACAGAGATAGTGTAATTGCAGGGATTATTTCAATCCGATTTAAGTGAACCCGCTGCAGGTGAAATGGTACAATAATTTACCTAGCGGTACAATATTACAGTCTCGAGTACAAAGTAGTATATAACACCCTGTTCTCAGAGTATTATTTTGTCAATAAAAAGTAAACTGTATACCTGTTGGTGTCTCAGACCATATATTGTAGTGTGGGAGGGAGACCCAGAATGGGTTATTAATATCGATTTCCTGGAATATATATCACAGAGATAGTGTGGGTTTAAGACCACAATAGTGGAGAAATTCCTGAGTAATTCTCAAAGTCCCTAAGTGCTTGTGTCTTTAAGGGCACCCCTTAACTAAAGCCTGCAAATCCCTTAACACTGGTCTGTACAACCTCCCGCCAGAAATCCTGCCTAGGAAGCAGAGAGTGCAAAAACCGTGCTCACCAATTACACTAAAAAGTGGCTAAAATTGCTGATTAAAGATCAGAATAATCTGTTTTTCTGAATGCTAAAAAGAAAGCTAATAACCCATGGTCTAAAAAAACCAAAACTAAGATGCAAGAATTGTAATTTCAGAACAACCTGCCAAAAACCTTCACCGAGATGAAGATGGCTGCTGTTCATTTGGTGTATTGCATAGCAAACTCCTTATCCAACACTTAGAAAGTCAATGAAATAGTAAATAATATCACAAGAATCAAAGGTTTTGTTGGAGAGGGAGAGCTCCAATAATTAATCTGAAACCTTATTCCCAAAGTGTCAGTTTATTAATCTTCAGCATAAGTGGGCAAATTATCAAGGTCTCTAGATGTTGGAGACCTGGCACAGTTTATAATGCTTTGCCAGGCTACAGCTATAGTTCTACAAAATATGTGGATCTACATTTTGCTCAGCCCTGGTCTAGAGGCATAAGACATAACATCTGTCAATTAGTCAAGGTTATGCAAGAAAGTGAAGAAAAAATGGGAAAGTCAAAGGTTTCCTCTATACCCTAAAGTCTTCAGGCTTATGCAGTGAGTAAGAAGTCAATCTGGAGAAATTTGCATTTTTCTATTCCGTCTTCAAGATGAATATAATCTACATCCTAAGATTTCCAAAAGAGAAATTAAAAACAATCTTAATTACTATAGGTGAGGCAACAAATCTGGATAAAAATTTTTTTGGAACAGTTGAAATGGCCTTCCTGTTAGTGGGATATATGAGGGTTTGGGCCTTTTAAAACTAGGGATGCACGGAAATATAAATTCTAAACTGAAAATTCCGGATGCCCTTGGTCGAAAACCGAAAATGACTTTTTTCCCCAAATGACTAAGTTTTTTTTTGTTTTTTTCTATATTTTTTTAATTAATATTAGACTTTTTAATTGTTAGCAATTTACAGTGAATTTCATATTTTAGGCTATAATAACTGAACTATTTAAAAAAAATTCAGTTTGGCTAATTTGGCCTAAAAAAATAAAATCGTTTTTTAATTTAACTTTCACTTCCTCACAATTGACAGCTAAGTAATAACCCTGAATTTATTACTAGGTCAAAGAGGTAGCTGTTGTAAAACTGCAACTCCCATGATGCTGTGTGAGCCTAAAGGGTGAGATAGCAGGATGGGAGTTGTAGTTCTACAGCACCTGTCACTGCAGCTTCTACATGTGCTGTCCAGGTTCGGCCCTCTCACCCCTGCTGCTGCTCTCCTCCCCCAGGCCAGCAGGGGGCAGGCTGCCTCCCTCCCTTACCCCCCAGTGGAGGTTGCAGCTGGTGGGGTGGTCACCCAGTGCAGTGCATGGACAGGTCCCTCGAGGAGCTGAATTACCATGCCTGGAGGCAGAGCTGGCAGTCCTCCACTCGGCCCTCTGCTCCCGCGTCACATGATCGGCCAGCTCCTGCCAGAAAGCATGCTGCAATACAGGGGTAACAAACACTAGAGAATGCTGTTCATGCTACTTTCTCTGGTGTTTCCAACTCCTGTGTGCTGCATGTTTGACGGTCACATAAGTAGTTTTTATATATCTGGCAGCTCACTAATCTGGGTTTCTTATTGTGGGACAACCAATGTCTTGTCCTCTGCTGCTAGCCTGAAGCCGGACTAAAAGAAAAAATTAACAACCTGCCGGGGGGAAGAGGGATGTAATATTTGGCCCATTTTCGGCAGCCGAAATTTGGTGCATCCCTATTTAAAACGTCAATATTCAAATCAAATGGCCTTCCTGTTACTGGGATGGACGAGGGTTTGGGCCTTTTTTTAAAACTAGGGATGCACGGAAATGAAAATTTAGGATGCCCTTGGTCGAATTCCGTAGGGCAGTAAAAACACCACAAATTATGTGTGGGTATTGAACAAAATGTCGTGATTTTATTTTCTTATTTAGAAGACTATTCAAAGTGTGTGGGGTTTTTTTGTTTTTTTTTGGTGCAGAAATGCAAAAATTTAGGAATGGGTAGAAGTGGCAAAGGAAAAAAATTACCAGGGAGTGTAATCTGATCGTTCTAATTGAAAAGCCATTTGGTTCATTGTAACCAGTATTGTTTTAAATGGGTTTTTATTGTTTTTGCAGTAAAGTTGCAAGTGAAAATCAATATAATGTTGCCTACGCAGAGGCTCAGTGTTGTATAAAATAATAGTTGCATATGTGCCTGCGCAGAGGCTAAATACAGTTGTACCACACAATATCAGTCACCTGTATGTTCCATGCTTATAAATTCTGAACCGCTGACCTGCGATGCACCTTGTCTAGTGATGTTCTTGTTATTCTTATGCAGTGTAGAATGCATTACATGTATCGGGCAGGTTAACGTGAGAAGCCCTTGGTTGCCTTCGCTGAAGCTTGCGTGACCCCTCATGTACACAAGATGGGCGCAATATGTTAAGCGAGCGGATATGTGTTGCGGACTGACAGGCTAAATGCCGTGAAAAACTAAAGAGTGGTGCCGTGCGTCTGGGTAATTGCGCCTATGCATCCTTATAGTAAAAGCGCCTGTATAAATAAGTAGGCTCCTGATCAACTAAAATGCTAAAACTTGAGCTCATACAGGTATTACAGCATAGGTAGCGTGTACTTGACAAACGTATTATACTGGGCTGGTGTCAGGAGGCAATGGTGAGTCATAGCTGTCTGTTGTGTGACAGCACCTAGTGCAGTGGTGCATTAAGGAGGCTTAGTTAAACCGTGTTATGTAAAGAGGCTAGAAGGGAACGCAAAAATAAAAGGAAAGAAAAAACGTATTTGCCTATATGTTTACGCCCCATAATAGTTTGCTAGATTTTAGCTATTTTTTCAGATTGGGGCATCTGGTTTTTGGTTACAGGTCTATACATAAGAAGAACATCCAAGTATGCGGAATATGTGCGATATAGATGGATATATATCTCTACATCTCCATATATATCTCCCGCTATATAGAATTCCTAATGGTTTTAATTTCCTCCCTCTTTCCCTTTTCTTTTCTTCATTGCTTTTTGATCAAGGCTACGGGGGGGGCCGCAGGGGAACCACCTGTAGCCGCCGTGGGGAGCCAGCCAGCATCTCTCCAGGCCCCGCCATATTACCAGCCGAGGGCTCCATAGCGCGGCGGGCACTCGGAGACCCACCAGTCCGCAGGGCTCCTGCACCCCCACCTCGCCACCAGAGTCCCAGCTGAGTGGGGGGAAGGCCACTGCTTGTCTCACCCAACACTGGCCTCTCAGAGCATGTGCCGACTGTCCTCTCAGCTGCCGGAGGTCGCAGCGTCCCAGGGCTCACAGCGTTGGGGACAGCTGCCTCCTCAAAACCCAGGGGCAACGGCTCATCGTCCCCGGCATGGCATAGTCCCAGAGCCGCCACATCTGGCCAGCACATCCCCCGGGCACCGCCCGCATGCATCTCCCCCGGAGCCCCACCTGTCCTGCGGGTGCCGGATCAATATGAGAGCTTCTCAAGGCAAGGCAGGCAATCCTTTCAGGGAGAGTCAGTGGAGCTCATGATGAACGCCAGATTGGCTGTGTGAGCAAGGAGTGTCTTCCGATTTCGAGTGTCATTTCCAGACGGGCCACATCCTGGCAGCCTGTGCCTGTACAGGAGAACAGCGTGGTCTCAGTCGGCGCTTCCCCCCTCGGAGTATGGCGCCTCCATGGAGCCGGGTTCATGGGGGGGGGGGGTCTTAAAACAAGTTAACACATATATTGCAAGAAATTTGCAGGTGGCAGTTGTGGCAAAACCGACCTCTCCACTGGGCATTGGAGAAGACTGATTGCCAGCCTCCTGCCATGTGACTATGGGCCCTGGAATGTATTGCCCTTTTAAAGACATGATTTGGGCATAATGGATTTGTGTTGTGCTGCTGTTGGCCTTTTAAGAACCATCTGGGGACATACTGTGGAGTTGCTGGGTGGCCGCCATTTCATGTGTCAGAGGCACATGGTGAGAACAATGGATGAAGCACATGGTGGGAACAATGAATGGCGGCCATTTTGACGCAAACACTGTTTGGACTTTTCTACACAGTGCCATCTCGCCCGTGTTTGGTGCGCAAGGACATCGTGCAGTGGTTTTGAACTGTGCAACGGGGGACATATTGTACAGTGATTGTTTTTCATACGGCCTGTATATGTTCTGCGGAATCTGCATTGTACTGTGTCTTCCAGGCTGCTGAACGGATCTGGGTGAATTTTGGATGTGGTGTTCGCCCAGATCCCCCGGTTCCGGGGATGTACTTTTTGTGGGGTTGTTGCATGTTTTGGGGTTCTTGTGATGTGTCTTGTAATACTGTGTTTCTCTTCCTGTGATAATTATATTAACCATTGTGTTCAGTGATCATATCACAGACAGAGGGGAGGATTTTTTGTTGGAGTGTCTGTGTGTATTGAACTGATTGATTGGTTGTATTTCAAAACCCTGTGGGCAGTACTAGGTTTGTGGATTGTGAATAAGAGGTTGTATGTGCCAGGACAGTCAGTTCTACTTCACCCTCAATTTGGAGTGCTGTCTCTTATTGGGGGAATCTGCTACAAGGGATTGCTATGCTTGTCATACTCCCTTGCTAAATCACTACTAATCTCTTGTAAGAGCGTGTTCCTGTCCTTCTCTCTGAAGGAGTCCACGGTGGTTATGGTGTCGGCTGGAGTGCTTGGAGCCCTCAGGAAGCGCCAGGAGCATCCTTCAACGGAGGTACCCAGTCGGGTGCCAGGTGATCCGTTACATTGGTGGCAAGCGGTGGTGATGGCGTCCTAGTGCGAGGTAAAGCACCTCAGACACCGTTCGTGGATTTACAAATTGAGGGCGATGCTAGTGTTCATACAGCGTCCCTGTCTACAGAAAGATTTGGGAAAATGGGGTTCGTGGACCCCTGGGCAGCACACACCTGAGGAAGAGAGTGAATTGGAATGGAGAGATATTGCACGGAAAGCATTATGGTACGATGCCCTGGATGAAGTCCAGTATCAACGGCAGCAGCGCCTTTTGGTGTCGCATACCAATTGGAGGAACAAATGGCTTGGAGGATGCCGCTTCTGGGAGACAAACCGCGGAAGTGGTGACTATAGTGTCCCTTTAAGTTTACCAGATCATTCACACCTAATATCCATCACAGAATCTGGAGAAGATTTCGTACATTGTATTCAGAGGAAGAAATGTATCAAATTGCTTTGGCTCAAACCATGAAATTTCTACAGCTATTATTTAAGAAAGGCTTAAGTCTATGCACCTTAAGTAAGTTTAAGTAACATATTACTCCTAGGTCTTAAACCTCACTCATATATTTTTTTTGAGGTATTAATCAAGGTAGAACTAATGGATCAGAATATTGTCCTCGTTTGCCTTGTGTTCCCCCTTCTGAGACAAATTTTCAGAGCAAACCGTCACTAAAAAATAAAGTGTATATATTTGTGTGTGTGTATGTATATGTATGCGTCCTCTGAAAGAACAAGGGAACTTTAAAGCTTTGTCCGTGTCTTTACCATATATTTTCCATTAAGGACAATGGCACCTTGGCAACTAACCTAGCCTTTTGACCTCAGATTCTGAAACAATCCATTATGTATATCAAGAATAAAATGTAGTCCTCTTTTTTTCAAAAGTTAACTATGCCTTAATTTGCTTTGCTCCTAAAGTGTTCCTTCTACTGTCACCATCTTAAGTGACTTTCGTATGTTCTGTTCTTTTGGTTTTATAAGATGGCTTTAGATTTTCTTAAAGGAGCACTATAGGGTCAGGAAAACAAACGTATTCCTGACCCTATAGTGTTAAAACAACCATCTGGTCCCCGCTTAACTCTCTAAATGTAGTAAAACCTTATTTGTATTAATGGACCACTATAGGCACCCAGACCACTTCAGCTTAATGAAGTGGTCTGGGTGCCAGGTCCAGCTAGGATTAACCCTTTCTTCTATAAACATAGCAGTTTCAGAGAAACTGCTATGTTTATAATAGGGTTAATCTAGCCTCTAGTGGCTGTCTCATTGACAGCCGCTAGAGGCGCTTCCGCGCTTCTCAATGTGATTTTTTTTTTTTCCAGTGAGAAGACGCCAGTGTCCATAGGAAAGCATTGAGAATGCTTTCCTATGGACTGGCTGAATGCACGCGGGGCTCGTGCCGCGCATTCAACCGACGAGGAGGAGACTCCCCTGCCCGGCACTGGAAAAAGAGGTAAATTTAACCCCTTCCACCCCCTAGACCCTGGCAGGAGGGGGGCCCTTTGGGTGGGAGGGACCTAGAGACCCTATAGAGCCAGGAAAACTAGTATGTTTTCCTGGCACCATAGTGGTCCTTTAACCCCTTAAGGACCAATCTTCTGGAATAAAATGGATTCATGACATGTCATGTGTCCTTAAGGGGTTAAAGTCCGCAGCTCCTGGCTCTGCCACTGTCTGCCTCAGACCTGCCTGCTGACTTCATTAGAAATGGTGGCCTGATCCAATCACAATGCATTCCCAATAGGATTGGCTGAGACTGTCAAGGAGGCAGATCAGGTGCAGAGCCAGCACAATTAAAACACAGCCCTGGCCAATCAGCATCTCCGCATAAAGATGAATTGAACCAATGCATCTCTGAGGAAAGTTCAGTTTCTGCATGCAGAAGGTGTAGACACTGAATGGCAGTGTTGCACAGTAGGCAGGGCTGCTTAAGGAAGTAGCTTTAGCAGCCACCTGAGGAGTGGCCAGTGATGTCATCACTAGGTTTGTAATATAAACACCGCATTTTCTCTGAAAACCAAAGAAAGTTACCTGCGCTCTCTCTCCTTAATCCCTATGTATATTTAAACAAATGGAGATCATTTAGTTACTCCAATGGCCACTGGAGGGAATGCCTGCCTGCCAACGTCAAGGCAGACCCCCCCTAGACGGGTCCTACACTGACCCTTCACCTTGCTTCCTTGAGCAAAGATATCTCTAATGAGACAGAGAGGGGGATTTTTTTTATATACACCCTAATATATATATATATATATATATATATATATATATATATTTTGATGTGTACTGTGGTCGTTGCTGCCGCCCAGGAGTGAAGGGAGTGAGTGCAGGACTTATCTTTTTGTATTTTTATTCACTTTTTGTATCACACAGTTAGGTTACAATGCTGCTGCCTGCCTTATGTGTTCCCTTTTAAGGCTTAATAAGTATATAGGGGTATATATAAAAAGAAATTCTCTGATTTAGGTGTTTTATCATGAGGGGTCTCTTTGAGTTTAATGAACTTGTTGTAGAACTCTGTATCCGTGTCTCTATAGAAGGAGTTTTCTGGTCTTTTGTAGGAAAGTTTTACACACCACCATTATCGAATCTTTTTAGTCAATCTTTGTTTTGAGACATGAGTATCGTACAGAAAAGAGATATTATATATATATATATATATATATATATATATATATATATATATATATATATATAAATTTTTTTTTATTTTTTTTTATTATGTATATGTGTGTTAAATCTTAACAAAGTCAAGCACAGGGGCGTGCTAATAAAATTACGATGTCGAAGGAGTCAGGAGAAAAGCTAAACTTGTATATAAATACGTCTGGAAATTCCTGTCTGATAAAATGCAACATAGCAGTGTGAGGGAGTAGGTTATGCTTAGCATGCTGAATAATCGCAAGCTTGTACCGCTAAGGCCACATAGATTAATCAGATCTCAGTAGAGCAAACCATATAAGTAAAAAGTTAAACAAAATTAAACCAAATCGCTACTGCTGTTAGAACTTAGGGCATCTGTGAATGTTTGCTCAGATGAAGTCAATCACCCAATACCATAAGTGGGTATGAAGCGTGAGTAACGTCCAAGTCCACCTGAGTAAGCTGCATATTGGGGCACCTCCTCTAGCCCCAGGCCCTTCCAAGAGCCAGTACCACTACATGGACTAGTAACTTCCTGGGGCAAAGTCTTTTCACTGGTGGGGGTCTATGCAGGACATTACTCTGCCGCCTTAAGAGATGCCGAGCGGTCCTCCGCGGACGTGGGTGGTACATAGGGGTCAAACCCTGGGTAAGGCTGACACAGGTGCGTCTGCCATCTTGTATGTTTGAGTTGGCCCCAAGTCTGGGGTAGAGTGTAACAAGCAGCTGCAAGCTGGCCAAGCTGAAACTAGGATAACCCCCATTGGTCTAAAGTGGAGGGGGTAATTTTTTTTATTTATTTTTTTAAATTAAATTCTTCACAAATTTGTTCTGGTTCACCTCTGGTTATGACTTACAAAAAATAAGCTGTTGTCCCTCAAATGTGTGTGTGCCTGTTTTAGTAGTGATATTTTTACTATTCTCTCCAATAATTTGTTTCTCTTGACTTCGTACCTGGAGAAATGATTCATATGCCTTATTTGTTAAATTTATCAGGGACTCAAACTTATATTGATCTTAACTTGTACTTTGTTATACATCTTGGGGATTTATGAATTTTAAACTGATTTTATATTTCTAGAAGCACATACATTTTTAGTAAATCCTACTTATTTATTGACTTGAGTATCCCTTTTATTTATATATATATTATTTTTTTTTTAATTTAGAAATAATGACAAGTGCTGGAGAGGAGGGAATGCCAGACTTGGCCCATGTAATGCGCATCCTATCTGCAGAGAACATCCCACAGTTGCCTCCTGGTGGAGGTTTAGCTGGAAAGTAAGTCACTGCAGTCCTATTTTAGTTTCAAGAAAATCTAAACCCTCCTATGTTTAAAATGTAATGTATTATGTAGAGAATAGCATTGATAAAGACTAAACATGGGCTCTCTTCTCCATCCCATAAAAGCCACCACATCTGTGCAAGAAGTGTGCCAACTGTCATAGTGTGTGTGTGTGTGTGTGTGTGTATACACACTTACGGTACGGCAGTTGGCACACTTATTGCACAGGTGTGGCTTTTATGGGATAAAATTATTTCTTAGATTGGGGCTATGCATTATATGTTGAATCTGTATTTGGTGGCACTATTTTATGTCACTGTATTATTAGGCTTAAAATGTTGTATCGATGAAGGATTGTATTGGGTACTAGGGTAATTATGGTATTTGGTATAGATTGTAAAAGGCTTAACACTGAGAGTACATCTTTATTAAGTACTGCTGCGTTTGTTCATAGGCCAACTGTTTCATAGTTTCAAGCACCTGTTTTCTTGTTTTATAGGTAAATCAAAAATGAATACACACCAAAAAACCTTAAGAAATCTCTATCTAGATTTATTAACCCCTTAAGGACCGAGGACGGTTCAGGACCGTCATCGGCATTTTTGCGTTGCCGACCGATGACGGTCCTGAACCGTCCAAACGGTCTGGGGCTACTTACCTGATCGCCGTCGTTCCCCCGGCGGCGATCAGCGTGGCTCCGGTTGTGGGGAGACTGCCTGCAGCCCAGACAGTCTCCCCACGGCAGATTAGGACCCCTGTGGCCATGTGATCGCTCAACACAGCCATCACATGGTCACAATAGGTGTCCATGTGTCTGCCTGCAGGGGGACTGCCTGTACTGACAGGCAGTCTCCCTGCAACTGTAAAATCAAAAAAAAAATTAAAGTTAATGGTAATAAAAAAAATAATAATAATTATATATGTATAAATATGATATATAGACATATATTGTATCTATATAATATATGTCTATATATCATATATATATAATGCCATACTAAGTGTATTTTTATATTAATATGTACTTATATTAATATAAAAATACACTTATAATTAAATTACACACGTATATATATAATATATATAATAACTATATATATTGTATATATATATTATTATAAAATATAACTAATAAGTAATTTAAATTAAATAATTTTTTTTAAAAATAATAATAAAAAATTTAAAAATTATATAGCTATATGAAATTTTATTCTAACTGTATTTTAAAATTAATATATATATATTTATATCAAAATACACTTAGAATGAATTTGTATATATATCTATGTATATAAAAATAAATAAAAATAATAAGAAATATACATACGTCCATATACAAAATTACATAAATAATTATATAAATATACACGTAGACTTCAAATATATAAATATGCATATATATTTAAATTCTACGTGCGTATTTATGTAATATTTTTACATAATTCAGTAATTTTATTGATTGCAATTTGAGGGACCTGCCTGCCAACCCAGGCCGAAATTCCAGAGAATTTAATTTGCTAGCACTGTATTTTACCCTGTAACGTTCTACGACACCCTAAAACCTGTACATGGGGGGTACTGTTTTACTCGGGAGACTTCGCTGAACACAAATATTAGTGATTCACAACAGTAAAACATATCACAGCGATGATATTGTCAGTGAAAGTTACTTTTTTTGCATTTTTCACACACAAACAGCACTTTTACTGATGATATAATTGTTGTGATACGTTTTCCAGTTTTTAAACACTAATATTTGTGTTCAGCGATGTCTCCCGAGTAAAACAGTACCCCCCATGTACAGGTTTTATAGCATTTTTGAAAGTTACAAGGTCAAATATATGGGTCAAATATTTTTACATTGAAAATGGCCAGGTTGGTTACGTTGCCTTTGAGAGCGTATGGTAGCCCAGGAATGAGAATTACCCCCATGATGGCATACCATTTGCAAAAGAAGACAACCCAAGGTATTGCAAATGGGGTATGTCCAGTCTTTTTTAGTAACCACTTGGTCACAAACACTGGCCAAAATTAGCGTTCAATTTAGTTTTTTTACTTTTTTCACACACAAACAAATATGAATGCTTACTTTGGCCAGTGTTTTCGACTAAGTGGCTACTAAAAAAGACTGGACATACCCCATATTGAATACCCTGGGTTGTCTACTTTAAAAAAAATATGTACATGTGGGGTGTTATTCAGAGATTTATGACAGATAATAGTGTTACAATGTCACTATTGATAAATTTAAAAAATGTATGTTTTGAAACCGCAATATCCTACTTGTACCTATAGCCCTATAACATGCAAAAAAAAGCAAAAAAGCACGTAAACACTAGGTATTTTTAAACTCAGGACAAAATTTTGAATCTATTTAGCAGTTTTTTTCATTCGCTTTTGTAGATGAGTAAAAGATTTTTCAAGTAAAAGTCAAAAAACATGTATTTTTTTCAATTTTTCATCAGATTTTTGTATTTTTTTAAAATTAAAATACATGAGATTATATAAATAATGGTATGTAAAGAAAGCCCATTTTGTCCTGAAAAAAACAATATATAATTTGTATGGGAACAGTAAATGAGAAAGCGGAAAATTACAGCCAAACACAAACACCACAAAAGTGTAAAAATATTCCTGGTCGCAAATGTACAACATCGCAAAAACAGTCCAGTCCTTAAGGGGTTAAATCAATAATCTGTATACATAGCTGTTACAACAGTCAGTGACACAATATAGGCTACAAACAATAAACAAAAATATTTACCACAATTCACAAGCCTAATCTGGCAGAAACACGACTCAAACTAACACCCCAACGTTTTGGCTCCTCCTGGTAGCCTTTATCAAGGGTTTCCAATATTTACCACAATATTTGAATTGTGGTAAATATTTTTGTTTGTAGCCTATATTGTGTCACTGACTGTTGTAACAGCTATGTATATGGATTATTGATTTAATAAATCTAAATAGAGATTTCTTAAGGTTTTTTGGTGTGCATTCATTTTTGATTTAACTATTGGTTTCTTTGGTATCTGGGGGAGTACCAGTATTGGATAGCACCCTAAGGTTTGTATTATTGAATGGTCTCTCCATACTCTGTACATTATATACTTGTATTATAGGTAACCTCTACAAATATTCCGAGATGCTGCTGATCTTATTAACTCCTCAAAAGATTCTATTCTTTTTTACTTTGGCAAAAAAAAACCTTATGCTACATGGGAAAGAGCAGCTCTTTTTTTTTTTTTTTTTTCGTTTAGTTATAAGATCCTTTGCAATTGTTTAAATGTAAAGTCAATCTACCTGCTAATTGGATCTATACTTGCGTTCTGAGTCTAAAATAAGTCACATTTTATCATGTATAGAGTACATGAAGAAATTTTCTTTCTAAACTATGTATTATAAGAGTGCCTCCTATGTACGGTTAGAATCAAAATTTTTATAAACCGACCATTCTTGGGATATCATTGTTGTCTTAGTTTGACTGTTACAATTAGGTGTGCAAGTAAAACTGAGCATTTCTAAAGCAGCACATGTACTTAACTCCTGACTGGGTCTTTTTGTAACCGGTTTTGTGTCATCTGCTGGGAGAAGGGAAATCTGACTTAGGACTGCTTGGAAAAAAAATATAGAAGTAAAAATGTATGTTTTAAAGGAATTGTGATTGTGTGTTAACTTTAATTACACTTTAAGAATGTATTGTAGTATGGAAACTTCAGCTGTATTTTTTTAATTGTGTGCATTATTAATAATTATCAAAACTAATGAAAATGTCTTTGCAGGCGCAGTGTTATTGAAGATGTTTATAATAGGTTGAATCCACATAGAGAGAATGACGGGGTAAGTTTTCGAGGGAAAATATGTTCTCTTTAAACACCGATCCTGCCAACACAATGTTGATGCCTTTCATCAGAATTGTCTCTTCAAATTGAAATAAAATGACTCTGCGTCATTTCCTGCGTGCTCTAGAAAACCTGTGTCTAAGTGGTTACATTTTACCGTAGTTATTTCCAAGATTTTCTACATTGTTTTTTTTTTTTTTTCACATTGTTTTTGTAGAAGTTAATTCAACCTTTGTAATGCTAGATCTGTGTTGTCTAGAAAATAATCTAATGAAATGTATATAAATTTTTGTTTTTTGTATGACACGGGTCTTGAATCTTAAATAAGGACCCTTCCGGAAGAGAAGAAAATGCACCCCATGGAAAGCTGGTGGAGGCTCTCAGGGATCTGAGAACTAATCATAGGGGAAACTACCGTCAGCTCCTGGAGGAGATGCTGTGTAGTTACAGGCTAGATAAGATGCAGGGTGAAGAATCTGCGGTGGAACCAACACAACAATCTGCCTCCAGCAGTGTCATGGATGAGTCCGTAACTGGAAGTCATGCTCAAGTGGAATAACTGCTTTATAAAGTGCGACTTGCATGGTTTTCAGACTGAAATAGACATTTAAAATGAAATTATATATGTAGAAATGTTACAGGGAGAGTAGGCATGTTTTACCTGTGTGTGTTAAAATCATATTTGGGTTAGGCCTGAGTTTTGCAGGCATTGTATTAAATTCTGCACTTAACTTTGACATGGATGCATGCCTCACAACTATCTGGGGGCGGGGCCTTGAGGAGGCGGCACCAGTGACCTGCTCTGCGTCACTAGGTACGCCCATAAATGGTCGTTCCTGCTTGGAAACGTTGCCGGCTCGCTCACCAACATGCTTCCTGAACTGTCCAGCCTTTAGCACTCTGAAGAGACCACTGCTGAAGCACTCACTGCACTGTCCTAGTGCCCTCTGTACTCTCCTAGTGCATATAATGAGGCGCTTATGCTGTGGTGCCTGGAGACTGTCTTCTGTTGTCCCCAAATGTGGGACACCAGGGAACTAAAGCAGGATGGTGGGACAGGACACAAAGTATTACTGGGAGGTCTGCATTTATTTGGGGGGGTCGAGGGCGTGGTATGTTTGGCATTGGAGTTTAAATTAACCCTAATTTGGATAGTGATCACTGCCAAAAGGAACATTATTTAAATTAAAATCTTCATTCTGTAGTCGGAATGAATGAAATTGTCATTTTCAGAGTTCCTAAATGTAGATTTTTCAAATTTAAAAATCATTCTTATGTATTGTGCTTCAGTAAAACACTCAGTGAGAATGTTGGTTTTTACGAAGCAAAGTCATAAAGTGACTAATTGTATAGTAAATTTGCAATATGCAAACCAAATGTTAAGCTGTATTTGAAAAATGCCTGTTCCCCTCAAGGCATCAAGGTGTATGAAAGATAAGCATACAAGTATATTTTAATTGGAGCAATGTCAGTTGTTTTTCATTCAGTTAATGACATGATGTTTTATTGTGTACGTAACTTTTGTTGCTCCTGTAGATTACTAGATAAAACCTGTTCTGTGTATGTGTATATATATATGTGTGTGAAATCCTAGGTAAAAGTAATACAAAAATACTAACTGTAGTTATGAAATTGCATTACAACTATTATGAAAGTCTGTTAATCATAAAAATACCACTAAGGAGTAAGGAACAACATGTATAGATAACTTTAAATGAGCCTACTGCAAGCACTGTAACTATGTATTTGTCAGAAAGTAGTTCTATAGAATTTAAACAGCTACATTTATGTGAAAAATGTCTTAATAAATGGAACCTCTGGAAGAAATTGTTTAAAGAGAAACGCACCTTTTAATGTGAGCCTCCCAATCTGCAAATGTGCATTGTTGTAGTATCACTCCCACTTTTCGATTATGATGGCATGGGTCTGGTCTCAGTGAATGTCCAGACCCAATGAGCCAGTCAAATAGACCAATGCATATGGGTGGTGTACTCTTATTCAATCCCCAAATATCTGACTTTTACATTGATAAAGGTTCCTCCATTAGTACCTAGCATCAGAGAGAATCAAAATGTGAAGTATTATGTAGGTATTCTAATTAATTTACATTTCTGGTGAGATTTAGAGTGCCTTTTAGGCTTCATTTTTATGCTTGATCAGGGGGTTTTAAATCTTTCCCTCAAACTCGCAGGCATTAATCATTTAAAGTCGCACTGTCTGCCACAACTACTGAGGTTACTTTGACCTTAGTGCTGTACTATGTGCAGGAGCACAGCAGTGATATTGAGGAACAGGTTCAGGTAAGTAGACTCTCCTTTGCCTGTCCCCACTAGACCTCCATCAGATGTCACAGGTCGGGGGTCTTTACAAATTGTAAAGTTTCCAGACGGTGACAGTTCCACTTTAAAAGGAGATCTGCTAGTGAATTGCCTCTGTGATGAATTCCTATCACTTGGCTGATTCTTCTCTATCAGGTTCTCTAATTGTTAAATAATTATATAGTTACATGGAGACTGGTATTTTCTCTCAATGTCTTTCTTATATCTCCTCCACAATGCAGGACATGGTTCATAACAGGTTCTATCTGCTAAACTATATCAGCAGGAGCAAAGTGCACAAAAATATTGACTTTAATTTATGGGAATGGCTGCCTTGTGTGAAGTCAAAAACATAATCCACTTGAGGTGTTGGGTATAAAAGGGGCAGCTGTATTTAGTCCATTTATTTGGAGCACTTTTAGGAACTACTGTAAACTTCATGACTGGGTTAAAAGTAATGCTGCCTTTTCAGGATTCTGAATCTATTCTAAGCATCTATGTGATGGTTTAATCACACTATGTAATTAGTCCAAACCATTATCTAGTAAGGCACTAGGCCAGTGCAGTGAGTATTCAAATGATGCCTATCATGGTAAGCATGGGACTTGATGATGTTTTGATGGGGTGGGAGTCATCTGGAAATTGACATGGAAAAATTGTCAACTTTTTTTTATTGTAAAATTCGATTTGCATTGTTCAGCTTTCTGTTATTGCAAGTGTATGAAAAGGGCAGTAAATGTCCCTTGCTCTGCAGTTTGTCATCTCTTAAGAAATGATCTGTAAATCAGCGTGAAACGTTGACTGTTAAACCTTTTTATCCCATTTAGTTGTGGTTTGGTTTTTTTTTAATTCAATAAAATAAACTTGTTTTTCCAGTGCTAAAATGAAACCCTTTTGTTTTGTTACGTTTCAGAATATCGTGTGTAATGTAACCCAATCATTTTTAAATTTGGTCTGTAGTGTTCAGCATTATTATAGTGTTATGCATAATAAATATGAAAATGGTTAATAGTTGAACTATGTACTATTTGTATTTATTTGTTTGTTTAGCATAGTAGAATTTTAACGGTTAGTTTGTCAGACGTGTGAAAATGTGTTTCTAGGTACAAAATGTGAGATACAACATCCTGGTAAAGAAATATAAACCACTTTTACTATTTCCTCTCCTTTTTGGGGGCTAATAAAACCTGGGTTGATTTTTGAAAATTTTTGGTAAAAGTTTTTTTTTGTTTTTGTTTTTCTTTCTTGTAGGGTGCTGGAGATCTAGAAGACCCATGGTAGCCTTACAAAACTCCTAAAATGTTTTTGGTCTGGAAAAAAGGGGGAAAAACTTTAACCACCATTCTCTTCAAACCAATGAGGAGACTCTGGTGAAGCGACAGCTATGTACAAAATGGGCAAAAAAGAGAAATGATTAGTATTTTGCACCATTTGTTGGTTTGTTTTATAACATTGTCACACTTAGCAGTATTTTGCCAGCCTCAGGATTTCTGATCACATGTGCAACATTTACTCCTTAACACTTATCTAGCTCTATAAGTACCAAATGGGTGAGAAAACTTTTGATTACCTCTCTGGCACTTAAAGGGTAACACTGGAGGGCCTTGTGGTGTATTGTCTTGCAGGCACCTTTGGTGCTAAAGAGCTTAGGAAGAAATTTGATGCCTCATGCCGTTTTCTGTTTATTTTAATGTACCAAGGTGCATGCAGTTGTACTTCAATGGTACAGTGCTTTTTGAACTAA